CCCTTCCAGCCCTAATGTCTATGAAATCTATGAAATCTATTAAATCTAGTGGCCATCTACAAATTAGGAGGTGGGGCACAGCATGGGATAGGAAATACTCTATTTACCAGGGCGCCCCTTGGAGTGACTAGAAACAACGGCCACAAAGTGACAGAGAGCAAATTTAGATGAGACATCAGGAAGAACTTTTTCACAGTAAGGCTTGCCTGAATCTGGAATGGGCTTCCAAGGAAGGTGGTGCTCTCCCCTACATTGGAGGTCTTTAAGAGAAGACTGGACAAACGCTTGGCTGGGGTCATCTGACCCTAGCACTCTTTCCTGCCCAGGGCAGGGGGTTGGACGCGATTATCTATTGAGGTCCCTTCTGACCCAAAAAATCTTTGAAAATCTATGAAAATTACTTCTTTAACTGAAGGATGGCTGTTGCATCCACCATTTACAATTAGGTTACACTCAACTCACAAATCCTACCCGCACTAGTTTCAGTTTTGTCAATTATCTCTTCAGAGCCTAAATGGTGACCGCTAACAACCAATCCCAAAGTCACCGAATATAAGTAATTTAATGAAGCTAAGAGAAAGCTATTTTGAGGTGAAAGGTTGTTAGTAGTGGGTGTAAAGCTTTGAGCAAAGAAACTGGTCTCTTTTTTAGTTCTGTTCTGCCTCAGTAAACAAACAAATATGACTGCATCAAAATTAGCCAACCTCTTCATTTCTTCCCCCTCCTTAGTGAAACAACCCACAGAACTCTAAATTTTATCCACCCACTTGGTTTATAATGGCTGAGATTAGAAATGTGTTGAAGAGTTTAAAAAAAAAGCATGAACTGTTTTATTTAGGTGCTTGGAGTCCAGCAGTGGAAGCCTAAGAAATGGAAAATAACTAATATATTTAAAACATCTAGAAATTAACTAACTAGCACTTCTTAACACATGAATACAAGAATGTTAACTTAAATATATGGGAATTTCTAGAATTAGAAGCACATGCTTTCTTTTTGGAAAAAAGTAAATTTCCCTTTGCAATTACATAAAGTTACTGTTTCTGTCTGTACAAGATCCCAAAATATCAAGAATTTAATTAATTAGAATTACCATTGACTTATGTGTCTGTCTTAAGGACTTTGTTTATTCTGGGTCTTAAGCCAATATCATTTTGGTGCAAAAGAACAAAACATTTCTATGAAAGAAATCGTATCTACTTTAAAGCAATTCTTGAACCTATTCAGAATTTTACAACATTAAAAGTTAGTCTTTTAGACAAAGGTATATAAAATTCATATTACATAGGTGAAGGTAATATTAATAAATGTGATCAATTGCAAAGTCAGCCAGTATATGTAATTCAGTGTGTATCTTTCTGACTATTTCACCTGCTCTCCTGCCCACTAAATCATTTAGATGGATATATCTAAATGGTGTCTATGTATAATGCTGTGGGATCCTTTGGTAAGTGCAAATTTTATACAGTAATTGATGCAGAAGTTAAAAATATTATTTCTATCACTTTTACCAAAAGCATTGAATTTGAACAGTGCTATCAGGCCTGGTGACAGGTTTGACCTTGGAGAAGATAAAGTCAATGAGATGATTTATTTGTTTGATAGTAACATGCCAATACTATCAAGTGCATGCCCACCAGATTGCCTAAGTATGTGGAGGTTTTGCCAAGGATCTCCTAGATGATAGTAAGACAACTACTTAAATATTAACTCTACCTTTGGCGCAGCAGTGGATCTGCAAAGGGAATATCATAACATATTATCACTATGTGTCACTTATCTATTCCTATTTAAATTAATATAATCTATTTAATAATTATTCTAGTCCCATCAATAAACCACTGATGCACATTTTTCTGATCTCAACTCACATCCAAATATATTTATATTTGTTTTCTTCTTTTCTGTAGAATTGGTGCTGTCTGAGTTTGACACTGCAGTGACTGGGTTACACTAAGAATAAGAGGAGAGCGACAATGCCACCTCTTAGTTGTTTTTGCTGGGGGTTTTATGAGTTATAGCCCAATGCTATGGGGTTTTTTCCATTTTATTGATAGAAATCTTTTTGTTGTAGACATTTCCTTGGCCTCTGCCATATTGATCGCTGCTGTTGAGGGGGAATGAGTCTCTGATTGCTCTCTACTTGAGAGACTGTTAATGCAGAACAAACCTGGAGATGCTAAGCAGGTCGCTGGACAGTCCTTCATAAATATTCAGCAGGAACAAACATTGTGAAAGACACTAATGCTGATAGAATTCACAGATATGCTAAATAAGAATAAAGTATTTCCTGCAGAGAACTCCTGTAGGGATTATATGGCCTTCTGCTTTAATGAAGTTACACTTTTGACTAATGGTGAATTATGTCAACATTTTCCTTTCAATACAATAATCTAATTCTATTCTACTGAAAAAAATATCAGAATGAGGAAGTTTTTAGTAATTCTATTAGTGTTTAAAAACTATTTCAAACTATTCAGTGTTCTAACAAAATTGTTAATGAATTTCAAGTTATGACGTACAAAGTATTTTTAAAAAGGATATTAAAATGATCAGTTTTATTGTCTAAATGATAACAAGACTGTCAATATCATTACCAGTACCCTCTTGCTATAGAAAGATTTCATACAACTTAAGAGAAAATTAAACCCTTCCCATAGGATTTTTAAGCAATGTATTCATTTACTTAGCAGGAGTCAGTTCTCCATTAAATCCTTCAGACTGGTTTGAAAAATATTCTTTGCTGAATTCTACAAGTAATAATCTGACTAGGGCAGGGTGACCAAGGACCAACATAGGCGGGGTGGGAAAAAATGCTGCCGTCCAGTAGCACAATCATGATAGCAGCCGAAAGTTGCCGATTGGCCTGAGTGTTGTAGTTGCTCCAGGTACCCAGCTGCCTTATGTCATCTTTGTGTACAAACTATAATTTCTATACAACCTTCTCATGCATATTTATTCCACTCTCTAAAGGCAAGATCCACAGTTGCTGTAAAAGTCATAGGTCCAAGTTATCAGGTAAGGGATCTTATGTATCATTGAGTCCTTATTCTCTGTTCAGAGCAAAATTTGCTTTAGGAAAGAGTATAAAAAATTGATGGCTGCAGTATATGACCATTTTATATGTTGAGTACTTCTTTAACCTACACGCTTGCAATACTTTTCAATGAAAGAGTAAAGCACTAATCAACGTGAGAAAAGATGGCAGAATAAGGTTTCTTTTAATAAGGAACTCAGGAGGTGGCCACTAAAAATACACACATTACTTATACCATTTCCCCTGTAATGCACTAATAGTAAAAAATATTAGCTTTCCATTCACTAGCCTTACCCTTTTTACTAAGGTCACCCTATAAGATGTATTTCTGGTAAAAAGTTTACCCATAAGTGGTAAGAATTTTTCCTCAAAGGAGGCAAAATAGAAGGAAAGGATTTATGGATAGTGCACACAGTAATATGAACTAAGCAGTCTAACAGCAATGAATCAGACAAAGAAGAAAGGGTGTTAGATTCTGTCACCCACCATAAACTGCCCATCGAAGTGTGTAAGTGTGTTGCATGTGCTAGCATGACACATTCTAGAAATGCTAGCATTCAAAAATTAACTCTTTCTAGTTCATAGATAGTCTAGTTCATATACAATAACTGCAACTTGCCTCAAAACAGACTGAAGTCATGATCTGCTAGATGTAGCTGGAAGTTTCATAGCATAAGTCACACCCTCTCTTCTGTGGCCATAAGTGGTCAGTTCCACTGCACTATGGAAAGAAAGGATGCTTTAAGCCTAATAATCCTTTATATACAACCTACACACTGGGCATGTCTACATGTGTAATTCAAAACAATAAACTCCAGCACTTATTGCATTGGAGTTTATTGCTCCCAGGCAGGCCATTTGAATGTGTGCCTAGAACTGCAGCACATTGAGCCAGGTTGGAGAAGCCCTGGCTGGCAGTGGGCTCAGGGAATCAGCCTGCCAGCCCAGGGCTACTCTGACCTGGCTCAACATGCTGCAGGGGGGCTGGATGGGGCACAAGGATGCTCCAGTGTGGCGCTAGCCAGCAGGTAGCCCCTGCACTGAAACTCCCTTGTGCTCCGGCCATATGCCTTAGCATCTACACGTGTGCTGCTGCAGTGTAAAAAACACAGCATGGTAGTGCTTGCATTTACAACTCCTACCCTGCTGCAAAGTTAATTTATTCCAGTTTACTAACCTTGCACATGTAGATGTGAGACATTTACTGTGGAGCTAATAAGTCTACTCTGCAGTAAACGTCTCATGTAGACACACCCACCGAAGAACAGAGTTTCACAGGAGCTCTTTCCAATAGGTATTTGAGGCTTGTGCTGAGCACAGGCCAGTGAGAGGGAAAGCTAGAACATTCCTAGTTTCAGTTGATTCCAAGAGGGGGATAAGGACAAAGCTGGATTAACCTTATTCCAAGAGGGGGATAAGGACAAAGCTGGATTAATGCATAGGCAAACTAGACACATGCCTAGGACCCTGCTATGGAGAGGCCTGGTTCTTCCCTCCACAGTGGCGGTGAGAATGGCCCCATCTGCCTCCCTTTCCTTCTCTTCCCCTCCCCTCTGCCAGCCTTGCCACTGCAGCATCTGCTTCCTAGTGGCGGCTCTGAACCCTGTTCCCTATAAGCGGCAGCATCATGGTGGGAAGGAGAGTCTCAGCCGGCCTGGGGCTATGAGTTTGTTTACCTAGGGCCCACTAAAAGATTAATCTGGCCCTGGATAAGGAGGTATAAGAGTTTAAGAGACTACTTGTACCATTAGCTGGAATGGAACCTATGGGCATGTCCAGATGAGCCCACATGTGCTTCTTGAGCTGTGCCTCCCATTATTGTGCAAAGGCACAGCACCAAGGAGTTTGAGATACCACAAAATGCACGCCAGGAACAAGAAAATATTGGACTCAAAATTTGGTACATGGAAATCCAGGTACCAAAATAAAACTTGTATGAAAAAAGTGGGGCAGGACATGGTCTCCAACCATGACCTAAGGCAACCTGGGAGTTGGTCCTCCAGAGAGACACTCTGGTTTCTGGCTAGAGCATCTCTATGGTGTTTCTGCTGCCCCAGGCATTGTCACGGGTAAGTTATAGACATCAGGGCGAGGGGGGGTTTATAGGTGTGGGTGGGTGTAAGGAGTGGCAGCGGGATGGTGGGGTGAGGTGTGGCAGGAGATGG